CAAACAAATGATTGAGTCTCCTAAATTGTACATACCTGGTACTGCTGGTAGGCAGATCACCTAACAGCTGTAGCCACAAGGCTTGGAGGGCTGAAAAAACGTGCCTCACCAACTCGAGTAAAGAATTTTTACCCAACATCTAACCTGCATCTCTCCTCTTTCAGTTTAAAACCATCCCCTTGTAAAAAGGAGACTGTGTGAAAAGTCTATCTCATTTTGTTTCTTAATTCCCCTCAAGTAAGTGGATGGCCTCAATGAAGTCTCCTGGGAGATCTTTTGTCCAAGCTGAAAAAGGTCAGCGCCCTCAGCCTTTCTTGTAGGAGAGGTGCTCCACCCCTCTGATCATCTTAGTGGCCTCCTCTGGACTGCTCCAAGGGCTTCACATCTGCTTTATGCTGGGGCTCTAAGCCTGGACGCAGCACTGCAGGTGGGGTCTCACGAGGGCAGCGTAGAGAGGGACAGTCTTCTCCCACTCCTGGCTGACCACTCCGCTTTTGATGCAGTCCCAGATACCGTGGGCCTTCTGTGCTGCACGTGCAGTGCTGGCTCATGTCCGCCTTTCGTTCACCAGGACCACCATGTCCTTCTCCCAGTTTGTACACTTATCCGGGATTATCCTGACCCAAGTGCAACACCTTGCACTTGCCCTTGCTGAACCTCATTAGGTTCTCATAGGCCCATTTTTTAAGCTTGTCCAGGTCACTTTGGATAGCATCCCTTACTTCTATTGCATCAACTGCACTGCTTAGCTTGGTGTCACCAGCAAATTTGCTGAGGGTGTACTCAATCTTGCTGTCTACACTGTTGATAAAAATGCTGAACAGCACCAGTCCCAAGACAAACCCCTAGGGAACACCACTCATCACCAACCTCCATCTGGTGATACCACAGCCTCTGACTCCCTAGCTGTAACCATCCAAATAGTTCTTCTTTCACCAAACAGGCTAATCTTCAAACCCATCTCTCTCCAATTTAGATGTAAGGATGTGGTGCATGGCCATGCCAAATATTCCCAGAAACCATGCATCTTTTTGGCAATTCCATGGCTACATTCTATTAAATGAGCTTGCTAATTTGGAATTTACTTGCACTTTGCAATTTCATTCTGCTTCTGTTACATCTAGCTAGGATTACCCCAGCTCTTCTACAGTGCCATTTTAATCATTTTCGTAACAAAAATGTCCCACCATACCATTTATGAATTCCACCTTTATTTTGACATACAAAAAAACCACAAAGATCCTCACTGTACTACAGCAACAAATGTACTGCGTGCTAATCCAACACATATCCCTTTCAACACAGTTGTTGCTGTCTGCAGCTTACACAGGCCTTACCAAGATCTGTGGGCTTTTTTGTCTGCTCAACTCCATCTTCTTGTACTAACAGGTTTTCACCAGGCTATTTGGAAAACCATGTCTTAACACTAAAATAGAAGACCCTCTTCCTGCATAGATAATTATTCATTATTCTGAAGTACAGTATTATTCTGAAGTATTATGCACAGAGAAAATAGTTTTATTAAATGCAAAGGTAAGAAAGAAAAATTATTGGCATATCATGTTAGTTTGGAAAATGTAGTAGCTTTCTGTATATATAAGTGTAAAAAAAAAAAAAGTGTTTCATTTACATACTAAATGAAAACTATGATAAGACTGCAACCCTTCTACCACTCAGGATTTGAAGGCACATTTGTCACATCCAATTTTGCACAAAATCACTAAGGCCAGAAAGAATCTTTAAGATCATTTAGTCTAATCATTGACCCATCACCACCATGCCTACTAACCCATGTCCCTCAATGCCACATCTACTCTTTGTTTGAAAATCTCCAGAGACAGTGACTCCAGAACCTCCCCCTGGACAGCCTGTTCCAATTCATTGCCACTGTTTCTGAGAAGAATTTTTTCCTAATACCCAACCTCTGCACACTTAGAGCTACCCTATTCTCAAAGCAATAAAAAAGGCATTTCAGAACAGAAGATGGTCTTGATATCATCCCAATCACCTTATTTTAATCTTCAACCTTATTACACAAAATCCCAAAGCACCACAATGATGCACACCCGTCAGATGCTTCTTGTTCCTCTTTTTCAAAATGCCCCCCAACCTTTCACTTCAGAGACCTCCATCAACCTACTATACTGCATAAATCTTGTTTCTCTGTTTAATCCTGAATGCTTCTCCGCATCTCAATAATTACTCACTAATCAAAATGAATCTCTATTATAAAAAACTATAATTCTAATCGGGCACACTTTAATTTCATGGTTGCATTTACTCCCTTATACATGGAGCTGTCTTCCACAGAAGATCATAAAAAGGGACATAATCTATCTGCAAATTTATCAGACTGTACTGTGTTAAAGTCGTGAGCTTTCTGAATAACTTTTTTCTAACAGAATTCAGTGAAATTTTGCTGGCCAACAAGCATTTGAAGAGTACTCTTAAGCCAGTAATTCTAAAATGTAAATTAATATCAGCATGCCTGTGAAGTTCTTACAATATCCATAAGACAACAGACTCCAAAAGATTCTTAGCATATTTGTTTTGAGGAAGTATCATAAAATCTAATGCACATGTTTTTTTTTCTGCCAAGGTATTTAACCACAGTTTAATGCATGCACTCTTTCCTCAGGAGTACTACTGTTAGTACCAATCCCTCTGGAAGACTGCCTTAATAAGCAGGGTAAGCAAAATCAAAGTACTGCCTATATAACTGGCTAGTCATCTGTGTAATTACTAATGTGAAGATTCCTTCCAAACGGACTGTCAAAAATTGCTCAAAAAAAAGTGCTTGTGTCCCAAGAGGTAGGATGGAAATTACAGAGCTGCAGATTTCAGTTTCAATTCCTTTTTTAATGCATTTCAGTGGTTAGAAGCAAAAAATTGTAATCCTGGTTGACTAACCAGGGTAAGGTAAAAAGAAAACAAGTGGTACAAAATCATAGAATCATAGAATCACCAAGGTTGGAAAAGACCTAAAAGATCATCCAGTCCAACCATTCACCTATTCCCAATAGCTCCCACTAAACCATGTCCCTCAACACAACATCCAGCCTTTCCTTGAATACCCCCAGGCTCGGTGACTCCACCATCTCCCTGGGCAGCCATTCCAGTGCCTGACCACCCTTTCTGAAAAGTAATACTTCCTCATGTCCAGCCTGAATCTCCCCTGCCGTAGCTTGAAACCATTCCCCCTGGTCCTATCACTAATGACACAAGAGAAGAGGCCGACCCCCAGCTCACTACAACCTCCCTTCAGGAAGTTATAGAGAGCAATGAGGTCTCCCCTGAGCCTCCTCTTCTCCAGGCTGAACATTCCCAGCTCCTTCAGCCTCTCCTCATATGGCCTGTGTTCCAAACCCCTCACCAGCTTTGTTGCCCTCCTTTGAATACGTTCCAGGGCCTCAATGTCTTTCTTGCAGTGAGGGGCCCAAAACTGAACACAGTACTCAAGGTGCAGGCTCACTAGAACCTTTTGAGCTGGAAAGGACCTTTAACAATCATCTAGTCCAACTCTCCCACAACAAACAGGAGACATATACAGCTAGATCAAGTTGCTCTGAGCCCCATTCAGCCTGACTGTGGATATCTCCAGGTACACCTCCTCTCCAAGCAACCCATTAGTGCCCCTCACCACCCTTATAAAAAAATGTCTTCCTTATAACCAATCTAAATCCCTTGTCATTTAGTTTGAAACTATCTCCCCTCCTCCTACCCCAGCAGACTCTGCTAAAGAATCTGCCCCCTTCCTTCTTATAGTCCCTCTTTAAATACTGAAAAGCAGCTATCAGTTCTCACTGAAGCCTTTTCATCTCCAGGCTGAACAGACCCAGCTCCCTCAGCCTGCCCTTGCAGGGGCAGTGTTCTGTTCCCTGGATCATTTTTGTGGCACAGCGGGTCCAAGCACCTCTTGTATAAGAATTCCATAACTGGATGTGCTATTTGGGAAGAGGTCTCACCAGGGCAGAGCAGAGGGGCAGGATTGCCTTCCTATGCTTCTTCTGATGCAGCACAGGATCCAGCTGGCTTTCTCGGCAGTAAGATCACATTCAGCTGGATCATGCTCAATTTGCCATCCATCAGTATTCCCAAGTTCTATTCAACATAGCTGCACTCCATCCTTACACCCCCCCAGCTTATACTGATAGCATGGGTTGCTGCAAATTACGTGCAAGTCCCTGAACTTGGATTTATTGAACTTCATGAGATTCACCTGGGCCCACTGCCTGAGTCTGTCTAGGTCTCTCTGGATGGCATCTGGTCCCTCAGGCACTTCAGTTGCGCCACACAGCATGGCATCATCCACAAACTTGCCGTGTGCACTCAACCCCAGTGACAATATCATTGATGACGATGTTAAAGATCACTCGTCATGGTACTGATCCCTAGTACTTGCCATTGATCTCTAACAAGGCATCAAGCCACGGACCACCATTCTCTGGATACTATCTCACAACCAGTTCTTCATCCATCAAACATTCCACTCATAAAATCCACATCTTTCCAATTTGGGGAGAAGGGTGCTATGGGGGACCATGTCAAAGACACTACTGAAGGTGAACATCCCATATCAACTCCCTTTCCATGGATGATCTGCTCCAAGGTCTTCCCCAGCACCGGGGTGACACTAATATGTCGGTAGTTTGAAGGGTCATATTGACCCTTCTTAATTTGAGTACTCTACTGCCCTTTTTTCCAGCCACCAGGGACTACACCTGACTGACATAATTTTTCAAACACCATCAAGAGTGCCATGGTGATACAAAAGTGAATTCCCTCAGGACTCTGTGACACCTACAATAAAATTTCATTTGCTAAGTATGATTGAACGTGGGGATTAAAACACAAACTTACATTATTGAAAATATGAAAAATAATGACTTTCATGTCTGTTGGTTCATTTCTTTCAAGTGTATCCATGCTCCTTAAAGGTTCAATTTTTTACTACGTGTTTAATTCTTCTACCAATTCTACCAATTGGTATGAAAAATTACCTCCTCTTTCAGTGCATGTTTCTTCTGCTCTAAACAGATTTCTTTAGCACGCATCAACTGCAGAGTCTCCTTAGAAACTGCATACTGAAGCTTTTCCATACGTTCCACTGCTGCTGCCCATGCTGCCTTACCAAATTTCTTCTGGTCTGCTCGCATTCGGTCATACACAGCTACAGAAGGGGAAAAAAAAAGGTAAACATTGTATCAGTCTTCTCTTCGGATCTCTATAATGATTATACTGTTGGGACTGTGCACATGTTTGTATCCAAAAACATACAAAGTTCTCTTAAGAGAAGTCATTCTACAGAGTAGTAACCTTCATATTTGAGGTTTAAGAATTCTTAGGATTCACATTAGTATGCAATTCCATATTTGTTTACCATTTCGTTATTATAAATCCAATTTTTGTTATTCAGAGAAACTATTCTGAACACATATTACCTGAATGTCAGAACCACAAGTTCAGAACTTTTGACAACAAAAATACAGGTTATTGTTATCATGTGGTCTTGAAGTGCATCCCAGGTTCCCCCTGCTTCTGAAAGCCTCTACCGTAAGCTACTGAAATCTCCAGTTTCCCTTTGCAAATTCTACAGTGCAGTCATAAATTTAATGCAGAGTGAAATAAGAATTCCAATTCAAAACAGAATTTGAGGTTGACTTCAAATGCAATTCAGAAAGAATAATGAATTTAACAAACCTATTTTTGTTAAACAGTGCTTTCTTTTTAAACTCAAAATAAAGATTGCTTTATGGGATAATTATATAACAAGGTACAATCATCCCTTAATGTACCAAGTTGAACTAGAATCTTTTAAAGAAGCCCTCAGAGTAGCAACAGTCCCAGATGTGACTCAGGATTTCTCTTCCTGAGCCCCAGAAAAAAATATAGGCTAACTTATTTCAGATTTTCACCATTTTTAACATATGGAACAATCACATAATATTGATCACACATAACTTTACAGAGCAAAAGACAGGGAAGTTGCACAACCAAAAATAGTAGCATTCAGTCCCTAGGTGTCAGAAAATACCAATCACTATTGTTAGAGAATAAATATCTATTTGCTCTCATGTTTTTTTTTCCTCTGTCATGTGTTCTTATGTATGATCTCCTTATGATCAGCAGGAGGCCAAATAAAGCAAACAAAAAAACCAACCTGCACACCTATCTTGTACATTTATCAAAAACTCCAGGCATTTCATTTTTGCAGTGTCCTTCCCTACAATCCTGACAGCTGTACATGAAAACATTACATGAAGAAAATAAATAAATAAAATGAAAGGAACTCTAAATACACTTTTTATTAACTAATGAGGTGTTTTACTTGCCACATTTGTCATATTAATGCAGAAGCTAAATGCCTTTAGAATTTGCTCTAATTAATATGTTTGAACTAGTTTAGTCCCTTTTTCAGGTAAGATGAAGTTTTATATTAACCCTAAATTGAATTGTTTTACAGTGATTGCTTCTTTTGAAACAGATCTATTCATGAAGATGACAGGAAACCTACCCATCAAAAAAGACTTTCTTCCAGGGGTACAGCTCATTCATGTATTTGCACAATCACTACCACCAAGGCAAAGAAACAGACAGGAACTCGCATTCAAGCAGGGGAAAGAGTGGGACAAACTTCTGTCAGCAGTAGTGCACAGTCAAACAAAAATAGAGAAAGTGAAACTGCATCCTGAGGTTTGTTTACACTAATTAACTGATTATTTTGGTTAAAACCATACAAGAATAAGAGCACAGATGTCTGTGCAAGCCATATGTCCTTGCTTAACTACACTGACTCATTTAGTAAAACTATGTGAAACATTTATCTATGAAGACTTTCAAACAGAGCTGCTTTCAGAGCAGTTAAAGCTGAGCTGTTGCTTAGTATTCAGAGCTATAAAAAATTTTACTGGAAGGCAGCGAGGAAAGGAAAGGGAAAAGCAATGGACACTTACTATTGTGGTTTGCCATATCCTCTGCACAAGACAGAATCCATCAAGGATTCCATGTTTCCTAAATCTTTTGCAAATGTAATTGCCACTAATAAAATCCCACCGCAAAGCTGGTTGTGAAATTTAAAAATTTATATGCTTCTGCTATATATAAAAATATATACTGCTTCTGATGGCATTCTGTAAAAACTTATTTGAGAAAGATTTCAACATACACAGAAATAAAAACAAATAAGAACGACAATTGTCTTTTCCTCACAGAGGTTTGATAAAAAAGGAAATCACACGGTACTATACAGAACATGATAAAAGATCTTTAAAGATTAATGTTTATTTCGAGTACAGGATAAAAGAAAATAATTACCTTTCTGTGCTTTAGCTGTTATTTCAAAGTATTTAACTGTAAGATCTTGAATAGAAAGTACAGCCATGTGGGCTTTCCTCTGCCAATCAGCATCTTCTTTCTGCAGACTCTCGATTCTTCTGGGGCCTAGGTAGTCATTCTCTATTGAGATCTGAAAATAAATCAGACTGTAGTTAATAATACTGCTTGCTTCTGAACAGTGATCAGATTCAGGCTAAGAACAAAAGAAAGAAAACAAAATAACAAAAAGAGAAAACTACAACAAATCATCATGGCTTTTATTCAACAGGAAAAAAAAAAAAAAGGTGTTCCTTTCTGTTGAAGAAGTACATTCATGGCTTCATTATTACTCTTACAAGAAGCACAACAAACTCAAATATAAATCTGATTTACCAGTAACTTCTCATTAAATACCATATCCTCAAACAACAAGCATGCTTTATCCAGGCTTTCTCCCAGCCTGGAATATTCCGATCTGAAGCAAGTGAATGCTCTTAGATAATAATAAAGATGGAAAAAGGGGATGTCGTGGGATGCTGGGAAATAATCATCAGTTTTAGGAATTCTTCTTTGTTTTAACAATGACTTTAAAAATATTTCCCCAGTGACTGGGAATTTAAATACTTTTTCCATTCCTAAAATGGAAGCAATTTCAATTCTATAATAACTATTTGAAGACAGCAAGAGAAGTGGGATTTCTTTTAAAATAAAAAAGTAGCTGTCTCCTCCTATTTTTTGCACACTTCTTAAAAAAGGTTGAGGTTGGTTAAGCGCTGTAACTGAGGAAAAAAAACAAAAAAAACAAAAAAAACCACCACCTGGATTTTCAGCAGACATTTATGCTGGAACCTGCAATTCCAAAGCCTTAATTCTGAATATTTTTCATTTATGTCGGCCAAAAAGACACCTCAATACTTTAGACAATAATCCCCAAACTGAAAACTCAGTCTTCTGTGCAACCAGATATTTAACCTGAAGTTCTAATGTCTCAATGTCAAAATGTCTCCTCCCAGTTTCACAGAGCTTTGGTAAAAAAGCCATTCCACTTTGCAGTATCACTACAAATAGTAGGCTTTTTAGTTATTATTCAGAATCTACCTCTGCGTATCCACTTATTTCTTACAGGGATGATTGTTATAAGCAAATATACATAGATAACTTCTATCCTCAAAAAATGTTTGTAGTAGTTTTATATGGTATTTTAATCTACCTCATATATACATTTCATATTTCTGAAAACCCTAAAAAGGCAACAGGCAAAATAAAAATGTAAACAAAGTGTAAGTGAATATTAATTTTTTCTTGTAACACATAATCCAATGAAGCACATATATATCATGATTTTCATACATAATGATTATGAGTGGACAGGCAAGAATTTAAAAATAGCAGTCAAACCATAGGTATAAATCAGATAATCATGATAAAAGTAATACAGTTAGAAGCCTTCCTTTAGCACTCTTGGGTAGAAATTACATAATTTGATGTTGAAATTGAAATGGGATCAACAAGTAGTGTGAGTAACATTATTACTAGACATCACTTCTAGAAGAATAAGAAGCCACAATACAGCTCTTAATATTTCTTCATCCAATTTTGCCTGCCAAAACATTATTTACACGCAGCACAGGCTAGAGATTTAGCATCTTTTAATACTATTGTATCCTTGTTCCAGAGATCAAATATTTACAAGTAAGAAAAACAGGAAGCATCTTTTCATTAACTGCAATCCCAATTACATCATCTATACTATCATCAATTACATCATCTATACTATCATCAATTACATCATCTATACTCTCATTCAAACTGTGGTTATTCATTTGACAAAGTACAAAAAAATCTAAGCAGCTTTTGCCTTAGTAGCATTTGTGAAAGTACTGACGACCACAGAGATGGAGACCAGAATACACCGCTTGTCCCAATCATCATTTGTCACCTGTGACAACCAGAGGTATTTGAGGGTCACAGCAACAAATTTGGATAAGAAAGTGCAAGAATAAGAGACAAGAGTCTTGGGTATCAAGAATTTCAAATGAGCTACTGACTCCTGGAGCAAGAATCCTCATCTATGCTAACATCTGTTTGAGACCATGCACTATGGACACTAGCTGCCAGCAGAACACCTCTTAGACCATTCAAGGTGCAGTAGAGGTCAAATGGATCAAAGAAGATTCAGGGAAGTTGACTGTCCTTCTGTAATGCCCAGAGCTTGGCACTGAGCAGCCAAGATAATTTCATGCCATTGGAAGGAAAACAAGCAATTCACATTACTTCCTCAGAGGACATCATTCCATGGAAAGCACACTCAGCCAGAGGGACAGAAATATATTCACAAAATACATTCTGCTCTGTACCCTAAAAGATAGGAGATTGCTTCTCTGCTTTTTTTTTTTTTTTTTTTTTTTTTTTTTTTTTTTTTTTTTTTTCCCCCTTCCTATTCTGAATACTCACACTTTAAGACTTTAAGAATCTGTTTTGGTTTCTGGTGTCAAGCTCTCTGCCACTCTCCTCCATCCAGCAGGGCTTGGGTAGATGCTCCCAACACAGAGGTTTCCTTTCCTGGGCTTGCCTGACATGCACCCTGTGGCCTCTGGGAGCTTCTACATTGGCCTGAACATGCTCCAAAGCTCCCCAGAGGAAAAGCAATCTCTTCTCATCCAGACAGCACGTTCCATCTGATTCAATCTCTCCATCAAGGAATGCAACAAAGAAAAATGCATTACTGAAAATAAGATACCAATGTAAAAGAAACTACTGTTAGCAAGCTTTCCAAATTACAGTCATGGGAACTAAAAGTCCATGGGAAAAAAAGACAAAATGACTAGTAGCTTAATTAAAGAGAGATGGAAGCTGCAATAAACAGAAAAGGAGGGGAAGAAAGAGACAATGCAACTATCCACAACACCCTCACAAAACAGGAGTATTTTGAGTGGATAAGGGAAAAACACACAGCAACATGAACAGGTCCATGTGTTTTGAAGATGTTATTTTCTATCATCTCATTAAAAACTAATCTTTTTATAAATGTCTCTTTTTATAAATTGACATATTTATAAATCTCTTTTTAGCTATTTGTAAAAAAAAATAGATGTGAAGGAAATAATTATCACTCTGAAATTAAAGGAAGATCTTCTGTCCCACTGCATTCCAATTCTGTCCACAATGCATCTGCAATATACTTAAGATTCATTTTTCTCACTGCACATCTCTACTATGCCAGCACCTTTTTGTTTTCATTTTCCATTGAAGGACGAGAGAAGGGCCCCACAGTAAAAGATGTTGAAAAGGCCTTCACAGGAACTAAGGATATAGATAGCTAGAGGTAGTTTACAGAAGCTAATATGGAGAGGCTGTTAGAAGAATGGGGATTGCAGATATTGACATCAACAAGGGGGGTAGAGAACATAAAGATAGGAGTTTGAGAACAGCCCGAGGACGTCCAGCAGGGAGGTGATAAGATGTCCTCAGGGCAGGCTAGAATAGGATCAGGGGCTGCCCCTCCTGCAGGGTCATAAGTTTACAGCCAGGAAGACTTGTTTCTTCATCCCATGACCACCAGGAGGAGACCCCCAGGACTCACTAGCACACCCGAGGGGAAGGGTCTGCATGCTAAGGGGTTCTCGGAAATCTAATGAATATGTATCCGAATTCCTGGAAACAACTGATTATGTATTAGTGTTTGGCCTATATCCGTAGAATGCTTTTTCTTCATGGTGCGCAAGTTAAGTGGATCTATCCCCCTTGCACCTAGCGTTTGCACACTGCTGGTATAAACACCCTTGCTCTATATCCTTAATCTAGCCGTAGAGTTTGATTTCTGCACATCACCATAAAAGAGCATAGGTCATTTTACCGATTAACAGAAATAGAGAACACAGTACAGCAAGAGAGGACCTGGGAGTGCTGGTGCCAGCAGCTCAGTGTGAAACAGCAGTGTGCCCTGGGGACACACCATGAGGGCAAACAGGGATGCTTTAACACAGCACAGCCACACAGTCAAAAGTAGTACTTTTACTATTGTACTTAGCACTGATGTGGCCTCACTCTGAATACTGTGCGCAGTTCTGAGCTCCACAAAAGAGAAAGGATGTTAAAGGCCTTGAAGGCATCCAGAGAAGAACAACAGAGCTGATAACAAGGCAGGAAGGCACTTCATATGAGGAGGTGCTGAGGGCACTGGGATTGCCCAGCCCAGAAAAGTGGAGGCCAAGAGGCAACCTCAAGTGCTCCCTGCAACTCCCTGAGGAAGGGAGACAGATGTGTTCTGCTCCTGGGAACTGATGGCAGAGTGGGAATGGCAGCATGGGAACTGCCAGAGGAGGGCCAGGCTGGGCATCAGGAGACAGTTCTGTGCTGTCAGGGTGGTCAGGCACTGAAATAGGTTTCCTAGAGAGGTGGTTGATGTCTAATGCCTGTCAGTATTCATAACGCATTGGACAAAGCCCTTATTCATACACTTAACTTTTGGTTAGCCCTGAACTGGAAAAGCAGTTGGACAAAATGATCTTTTATGTCCCTTCAAAATGAATTATTTTATTGTTTTGTAGTGCTAAAGTAATGGAGTTGGAGAAGACCCTTAAAATCAACATGTCTGATCACAGAAGTAACTACCAAGTCTGCCACTAAAACAGCGTCCCAGTGTGCCACATCTGTACGTTTCTTAATTGCTGCCAGGGACGGTGACTATACCACTTCCACCCCATGCAGACTGCTTCAATGCCTAAGCATATTCTCTATGAAAAAATCCTTCTTGATATCCAGCCTAAACCTCTCCAGATGCAACCTGAACTGTCTCATCACACCTTAAATTCCTTCTAATAACCATTTTCTCAAAAAGCACATTTCACTCTTCTGCAATAACTGCATTCATTTTGAGAAGAACCATGGTAAAAGTCTCAAGATAAAATCAGCTAAGATAATTTTTTTTTTCCTGAAGGTGAATTTTCTTTTTAAGACTTTCATATTTTTCAAGTTTTACTTTAGATTATGCTTTGAAAATAAAAAATATATATATATATATTAGTTCTGGCTTTCTCAAGTGATTATCAGTGTTATGGTTTTATGATTTTTGGTTATCAGTATTCCACATCATAACATCATGTAGTACACTGGGAGTTAAAGAGTTAATGCTCCAGTTCTGGGCACCTG